GGGAAAGATCCTGTGGATGGCTTCACTAACAATGTATTACTTTACACATCTCTTAACTAGTGTAAGGAGACCATCGACAGTAGCTTTATCTATAAACAATAACACTGGCTAAATAGTAAGTCCACTCAATTATACTAAATTCTACCCTTTCTTCAAACATGAACGTTCCGCCTTCTTTATCAAGCCAAAATTTGAACCTCTCGTTTGGCACTCCCAGGAACAATCATGCTCAGATCCCTAGGGATACTTGTACAGCTCAGAACAATTATACACGAGTGGAAGATGAAATCCAGTTTGCAATCCACCTGGTCTACCCAGAGGGGACCCCTCTTCTAGTTGTGCAAAGGTGTGTTAGAGGCATGGCTTCAATCCCCAACTATAAGGAAATCCATAAAAGATGAGGAGCATGTCTTCAACCTCTATCTGTCTCCATTGTCACAATATGATCTCATGACCCCTTCCACCAAATTGTTTTTGCTGTTTCTGCCTCTACAGTCCTTTCCTTTCCTACAACCTCTATCTTAGTTCAGGCATTTATTTCCACTTGAAGCATTGCAAGAATCTAAGCAGTTTCTCTGCCAGCAATATCATCTTTTCTTTCCTTTTTTTTTTTAAACAACACACTTAGCTGGTTAATAGTTAAAGCGTAGCTTTAATGTTTTTCCACCTTTTTGCCTTTTTTATAATGCTGCCCCGTAGCCTAAAACTTGACATATCTAAATCCTGTCTATTCTTCATGTATTTTCTAAAATGCCATTAGCTTTCTCTCTTCCCCAAGCTGTAATGAATTGCTCCTGAATAAAAGGCAGAACAATGTTTCATACATATGACCTCTAAGGCTTTCTTTGTCCTTATATATAATTTGTGTATAGTTTTTCCCCTACTAAATTATAAACTCTCTGATTGGAAGAAATGGGAAGAATCCAATTTCTTGATGTATCTGACTCATAATTTACAATTATCATTGTAAAGGACATACTCTAAATATTTGTTGCAAAAGGGAAGTGTTTATAAGCAGAAGGCTCCCAGTAGGCTTCTAATTATCCAGTTGCTGACTTCTGATTGGTTACTAATGGACCTATGTGTTGTGGGGGAAATGAAGGCATGAGGAAGATATACTTTACCTCATCTTCTCCTTTGCATCTTCAAAGCTTTCAGATACGAAGTAGACATCCTGAAAAGTTGTGATGAGACATTCCTGTTGACAGGTAATCTTGGGGTCAAAGGGCTTCACTTTGGCATGTCCAGAAAGTGCATGCTGGAAGACAAAGAGGTAGTGAATCAAAGAATACTATCCATTTTCATATATCACATTCTACACACAACTGCCAGAAGCAGCACACCTCTGGATGTATTACTAATGCAATGGTCCCAACCTACAATTTCACACTAATTTCCTACAGCCCTATTTAACCCACAATATTATCCAGCAAAACAAATGGCTTGCCATTCTCTATAAATGCCTCTCAGTGGTTCTCAACCTTCTGGCCCTTTAAATACAGTTCCTCATGTTGTGACCCAACCATAAAATTATTTTCGTTGCTACTGCTATGAATCGTAATGGAAATATCTGATATGCAGGATGGTCTCAGGCGACCCCTGTGAAAGGGTCATTCAACCACCAAAGGGGTCTCGACCCACAGGTTGAGAACCGCTCCTCTAGATCATCTCCGTTGTTTTAACACTCTTCTCCATGAGGGAGACACCCAAGAATATTTATTTATTTCTGCATTACGTTACCTACTTTCTACCTGCACTAGTTATTCCTATGCATGACTTGTACCCACCACCAAGTGGCAGGCTCCTTGAGAGCAAGACAGTGCCTTGGATTTGTGCCATACAAATTCATTTTTCAACAGCCTAAATTTATTCCTTTATTTGCTAAATAACAAATTTCAAAGAACTCCCTAAAAATTACAGAAGTTCTTTCTAGCACATAAAATGGTGAGGAAACATCAAGACTTCGTAAGCAAAAGCTTTAAAATACTTTTTTTTTATTTTAAAGTTACACACACACACACACACACACACACACACACACACCAGAATATTTGGGAAATAGAAAAAAGTATCCCTTAAATAATGTTTACTGTCACCCTAAGTAATTTCCATACTAAGCTCTTGTTCAAATCCACGAACTATTTCAGGTCATATAAGTGATAGTAAGTGAATATGGTGATGTGCAAAGATTTACAACTCTTACTTTGAGTTCACTGATAGAAGACAGTAAGCCAGCACCAAAAACTCTTAGCTGCCCATCTTGTTTACACAGACCAAACTCCACAGTGAAAAAGTAGCACTGCAAAAGGACAGAAATATTACTTTCACATCCTGAATGACTAAATTTAAGACAAATTACGACTCTTTGTCACTGTTCCAAAGTATCCTGGGATAAAGTTCAAAACCCCCAGACTAGCTTACAAGGATTTCTACAATCTGCCCTCATTCTAAACCAACACTTCTCAAACTTTTGTTCCCAAGATCCTATCCACTCTTCAACATTACCGAGGACGCCAAAGAATTGTTGTTTATATGGATTATAGCTACCTATACTTAGCATATCAAAAGTTAAAACTGAGAAAATATGTAAATGTTTCATAATTAATTTTAAAATATAATAAACCATTTTATGGTAACATAAATAACATGTTATGCTGTGATAAATTCCAGGAAGGCAGGAACCAGACCTTCCTCATATTTGTATTTGCAGCATGATGTCTGGTACCTAGTACTCAAAGATGTTTTTAGCATCATTTTTTGGAACCTATCATTTTTCCTGGAAAAAGAAGATATAGAAACTATTAACATTATTGTGCTCTAATGTTTCTCTGTCTTTTTTAAGCTCATGTCTTTTGATAGACCTTAAAATTTTACATCCTCCTTTAATATTATTTAAATTAAAGATGGGCCAAGACACATTTTCTGATGGTCATGTTGAATATGCACTTTTAAACTATGCAAATACCCATATCCCACCCCAGTCAAGAATTACTGATCTCTACAGTCATTTCCAGTTTTATACCGTTGCCAGTTTTTGAACAGCCTCCTCTGAAGCTCCAAGGGATGCCAGGCCAATTTCTTGGGAGAATTGTGCAAAACTAGGTTCAGCCAAGAGGGGGACATGACCTAAAAGTTCATGGCAGGTATCTCTGAAAAAGAGGTACAAGTCTGTCAAACTGTGATGCTTACCATAAATGCATTCATCAATCATTCAATGAAATTAAAATCAGATCTTAGTTTTATTCAAATTGATCAAAAGGTATTACTTTGGAAAAGGATCCCAAAGGACACTAACCAAATAAAGGAACAGTTTTGCTTCAAAACCTTGGCCACTCGCAAACCCACACATGTAAGTACATACAGATAGCCACAGATGTCCACATACTCCTCTACCCCAAATCAGGTCTCTGCTCAAATGTTATCTTCCCTACAAGGCCTTTGCTGACCACCCTTTCCAAAATAGCAATCACACACACACACACACACACACACACACACACACACACACACACACACGAATAGGCAGGAATTCCTATGAGGCAGGAATTTTTGCCTGATTTTTTTCAGTATTTAGACAGTCGTACATCCTCTATGCTAAAAACAGCACCTGTCACCTAACAGGCTGTCAAACAACAATGGATAACATATATAAAGCATAGATCATGTATTATGTGCCAGGAACTATTCTATTTCACATGTGCTAATGTATTTCATCTTCACAACAGTCTCATGAGGTAGATATCAATATTACAAGCAGCTATCTGATGACTGAATGATGGAGAAGTACTTACGGCTCTGGGGTATACAGGGGATCTGAACTGTGTCTCACATACTGTGTGCAGTGGAAAACTCGAAAGGCTAAACCTGATAAGAAATCCCTTGATGATAAGTAACCAGCCACAGGACGGATGGAAAAACCTGTGCGCTCTGCAAAGCAAGGAAAACACAGAGACAGTCTTCACCAGCATAGGCCACATACTGCCCCACTGCAACTCGGCCAGTGGCACCAAGTTACACTGAGAGAGGACAGAAAACTAAAATGTATCCTATGTGGACTAGGGGAAATAATCATTACTAAGCACTTACCATGGCCAGACAATGAATTACACTTGCTACATATCACCTCCTTTCAGGTTTTCAGCATGAGTTATAGTTTATTCTCCTCGTTGTAACAACTATAAAACTGGGGTTCCACAACTCAGTAATGTGCCCAAGGCCACACAGTGGATGGTAAAGGTAGGAAGAGAACCCAGGTCTCCTTACTCTACACCTGTTAGCTCCCTAAAGAGTTTAGAATATCCCCTAGACAGAATCTATTAATTGAGATCAGAACCATTTTAGAATCTATGCCATTTTTTCGCCAGTACTGCCTCTTATAAAGCAGGTTCTTTATTTGATCAATACTGGATTGTGGTCTCCCATTCCCCAACAGCCAAGACTGCATGTCCACTGCAGAAGTGCTGCCAGGAGGCAGCCATGGCCTGGAGACCTCTACAAGCTCCAATGTTGCCCGTCATCTCAAACCCTCACACTCTGTTATTTCAGCTACAACCAGTTGCTTTGTACTTGGATTCCCCCACTCTGACAGGCAGACTTCAGGGTCCCATTGAACTTAACACAAGGATGGAAATGTTCTACATTCATACATCCTCTACGCCTAGAACAGCACCTGTCACCTGTGTGCCATATGTGACTACTGAGCACTTGAAATATGGCTAGTGTGCCTAGGGAAGTACCATTTCCAATCCCCTTAAGATTCTGCGCACTCTCTTCTACATTGTCCCTCTTCTACATTGACACACTGTTCTGATTGTCCCTCCTCAAATGTGGTGCCCCATACAGGATCCAATACTCCAGGACAGAGTACTGGAAAATTCTTATCTCCCATATCACTGGACATTATGCCTCTATTAAAAATTTTCTCATGCCCGGTCGGTGCAGCTCAGTGGTTGAGTGTTGTTGGCCCATGAACCAGGAGGTCACGGTTTGATTTCTGGTCAGGGCTTGTGCGCTTGATCTCCAGTAGGGGGCATGCAAGAGGCAACTGATGGATGATTTTCTCTCATCACTGATGTTTCTAACTCTCTCTCCCTCTCCCTTCCACTCTTTGAAATCAATAAAAACCTTTTTAAAAAATTCTCTCATGACCCACACAGAATTCAACATTCCCCTTAGGAAAAAATTTAATTAGCTTATTACCTTTTAAAAAGTTTGAAACATCTTCCAACTGTGGGATATTATCTTCCCGATATCCGCAATACTTAGAAAGCAAAGGTAAGTTTTGGAGATACTCTCTGCAGGCGTGGGTTGGGTAAAGCTTATTGAGCTCTCGGAACACAGTTCCCCAGGTCTTAACCTCCTCCTCAGTGAATTCAACTCTAGGAATGGGGTCGCCACTAGCAAGAGAAAGAATTAGCATTCAATACACAGTAGCACTTATTCTCTACTTACTAAATGAGCTTAATTTACTCTCTTCATTGACTTTATCATTTTAAAGTTGGATAAGTTATTTTTGTAATACACTTACTGTTTATAGTTCATAGCCAAGTCTGCAAAATACTTCCGCCTTTTACGGTAGACATGATCTTTGAAGCCCTGGTAATTAAAGAAAAAGTTTTAAATATTCATACTAACATAAACTTGACAAATGATATTTGGGAAACATTTTCATTATTATCTGAGCTATTATATTAAAGAGTTACATAACTTATTTTGAGCAAGCATTATTTAGAAGTTTATGATTATTTTTATTTTAAAGTCAATGCTATATGACAGCTTTATACCATAGTGGCTACAAAGGTGAAAGATACTACAGATACAGCCCTGGCTGATGTGGCTCAGGGGTTAGAATGCCTACCCATGCACCTAAGGGTCTCGGGTTCCATTCCTGGTCAGGGTGAATACCCAGGTTGGGGGTCCAATCACAGTCTGGGTGCATACAGGAGGTAATGGGTGGATGTTTCTCTCTCTCATTCATGTTTCTCCCCCTCCCTTTTGCCCTCTGCCTTTTTTCCCCCTTTCCCTCTCCCTTCCTCCCTCAATCTCTCTCTCTCTCTCTCTCTCTCTCTCTCTCTCTCATCAATGGAAAAAAACTCACATCCTCCCATGAGGATTGAAAAAAAAAAGATACTATAGATACAAAGATACAAAAATAGCATAGTGACTACAAAAATAAAATAGTTTGAAAAATAAAAGCACCATTTAATTAAATACAAGCTTTATCCCAAGTATAAGATTTTTTTTCTTAATCACACAACTGATCTCTTTAGCTAGAGATGTTTGCTGTCTTGTGTATATCTTAAAGCTATTTAGCACACTTTTCATATTTGTTCATGCTACTTAGCACACTTTCCACATTTCAATCTCATATATGTTTATTTGTATGTGTGCTTTATCTTTTCAACTGGACTGTGAACCACCTGGCAGGTGTGACATTTATAAATTCCAATAGTTACTCAATAAGATACTATAGAATAAATGGATGGACTGGCTGGGGGCTAAGGCAGTGCACAGGCACATTCACAGAGCTAACAAGTGTAGAAGCTAGATTAAAGCCCTGGTCTATGAGACTTCACAACTGCACTCTCTGCTCCCCTCCCCTCCCAGGATCCTAGAGCTCCATACGCAATCCTAACACTCCGGTTTATTAATTCTCCAACTCATGCCTGTACTGTACCCCCTTGTAATTTCCCAAGGAAACAATGTCCTAGTTCATCAACTGCCTGATAATCAAATTATGCTGGGCAGCGTAGGTGATACATTTTTCCATCCTGTCTTTGCTCCCCTTTCCAATAACCCACGCCCATTTTAATAAAAACTGACTGCAGCTCATGTCTTTATTTTGGAATAACTCTTTGAATAGCTCTTAATACTGGGAATGTCAGGCATTGAACAGAGGCTTTGGAGCCAACAAGTCGGATGCTCTTCAGGCAGTTGGTCTCAATTCCACCAACAGGGGGCTCTACTAAACTCCCTGAAATCCCAATTGAAACAAGATGCTGTTTAATCTAGAATAAGCGCTTTCTCCAAAAATGAAAATGTTGCTCTTGAGTTTTAGTTTGCTTTAAATTATTGTCATGAAATTTTTTTTATTTATTAAAAATACTTACAGGATGGTCTGCATCCAGTTCAGATCCATACATCAGAACTCTGTTGGCACAGTGGTCCAGGTCAGAAATCTTCTTTGGAAACCAAGGAACCATTTCTATACCTGCAAAATATAAATACCACCAACACCTAAAGAGACCATCTGAAGAAGGCACTAAGGAAGAAGAAATTAAGAAAGTCGTACATTTAGATAAGATTTTTAATTTTTGCTTGTACATTGAGGCAAAATTTGTACAAGTAAACTCTATTTTTAATAAGTATTCAAATTATTTTAGCTTAAAATTTATAAGGCTTGATTTCCTAAATGTTGAAAAAATGCTATACTTTGCTGATAGACCAAAAGTTCAACAACAAACAACATTTTTTAAGCTACATATTTGACCACCATAATAAGGCAGAATCTTGCCCTAACTGGTTTGGCTCGGTGGACACAGCGTCGGCCTGCGGACTGAAGGGTTATATTTTTTAAAGGCAGAACAAGGGGTAAATTTAATAAGAAATGTGAATGTTTATTTTTGTTGATGAAAAGTATCTTAGAGGTCATTTATGCCTTTGCCACATTGAAATTCTCACCATCCCCCAGACATTCTGGGTTTTGCTTATGCTGTTCTTCTGCCTGAAACACCTAACCCCCTCCCACTTCCTGCTCCACCCGACCCTCCTGCTCTCCTGAGACTATCCTCCTCTGTCCAAATCAAAGGAGGGGACCCTGACCCTGGAGGTGGAACTAATTCTCTGTCATCTGGGTTCCCGTGACACACTGTTTCTAATATTCTAGAAGCTTTCTTTATGTTTTAGTATAATGTATCTGTAACATCTGTCTTACAGGAAAAAATGGGAACACTCTAGGGTAGGGACTATCTATTTTTGTATCCTCGTTTCTTAATAGAAATATTGGACACATGCCAAAACCGGTTTGGCTCAGTGGATAGAGCGTCGGCTTGCGGACTGAAAGGTCCCAGGTTCGATTCCGGTCAAGGGCATGTACCTGGGTTGCGGGCACATCCCCGGTAGGAGATGTGCAGGAGGCAGCTGATCGATGTTCCTCTCTCATCGATGTTTCTAACTCTCTATCTCTCTCCCTTCCTCTCTGTAAAAAATCAATAAAATATATTAAAAAAAATATTGGACACAATTGGTATTCCCTTAATATACCAATTTGTATATTGGTATATACAAATATACAAGGGAACTCATCCCTCTCTGAGAGAGGAGAGAGGACTAGAACTGGATCCTTCTTCCTTCAGTCGAATGCTCTTTCTAACATACCCAGACATGATATTCAAGAGCTTTAACAATAAATACAACAGGGGCACCAATCACATCACTCGAAAGAGACACAAGCAGAGGGCTAGGCTCCTGCTCCGCCAGGTGTCACCCTGTCTCCGTGGCAGGCAGGGGAGTCCTAGGGGAGCATAGAGCAACAGGTGGGAAGCACTCAAAGGACTCAGGGAAGCAGCTACCTGACAGCCAAAACGAAAGTATTTCAGTGTTTTAGTAATTTACACCACCATACGAATACAGAATTGGAGGTTTGTGAAATCAAGAAATGCTTGATGATTTGAAAACTGAGACAACTTAACAGATTTCTAACTATCCCAAATTCTATCATATACTTAAGGTTTCCTTTTTCACTTATCTCATACTTGATAAAATGTTGCCTTATCATTTTTATTTAGAATTTTGAGCAATTCTATTTTGTCCCCTTCACTCCCAGACTATAAGCAATTTAAAGAGACAGTGTTTTGTTTTTACTTTCATTCTTCAAGATAAATATAGGATTGGACAGAGACGGACTGAAAAAAGTGAAGGGATTAAGAAGTACAAAGTGGTAGTTACAAAGTAGTCACGAGGACATAAGGTACAGCATAGGGAATACAGTTAATAATCTATAATAATAAAAGGGTAATATGCAAATAGACTGAACAGCCATCCAGACGTCCTTCTGGACAACCTTCCAGACAACCTTCCTGATGAAGCCGGGGCTGCAGCTGTGGGATCAAGGCAGCCATGGCTGCGAAGGCCTACTCTTGCATGAATTTCATGCAACAGGCCTCTAGTATTGTAATAACTATGTATGGTGCCAGGAGGATACTGGAAATATTGGGGGGGGGGGAGGTAGACACTTTGTCAAGTATATGATTGTCTAACCACTATGCTATATGCCTGAAAAAAATGCAAAATACTATTGACTATCAACTGTAATTGAAAAATAAAACATTTTAAGTGAATAAATAAATAAAAATCACACGTTTAAAAAAAAGATAGGACACATAGTATGAACTTAATCTTCAGAGCAGTATTTTCACTTTTCAAACTTACCATCCTCCTTCATGGCAAAATTATCAGGTGGATTCACACAGAGAACATTAGTATTAGACTTCAACAGATGAAAAATATCACTCAATTGTTCTCCGTTGATATCACAGTCAACAAAAATCTCAAATTCCGAGTTTCTTCTCTTGGATTTTCGGGACTCGATGTGCAACAGGTTCACACGCTTCTCCTGTGGAAAGCAGAGGGTGAAGCTTAGGTAGGACCTCAAATGGCGACTGTCTTGGAGCAGATTGCTTTCATTACCGCTAGAAACCAAGTCACACTTGCCACAATAGGGAGAAAAGGCTGTTTTTAGTGATTGCAATCGCAAAATAATTCTCCCTAAATATTAGGTACTATTCAAAAAAGTTTGAGAAATTCATCACATCCTCCCGAAACTAATAATATTCATCAGAAGTGCTTGGATTGCCAGAATTGATTGTCCTTCAAAGGGAAATACCAAGTCTCTTATATAAAAAGAAGCTTTTGAAATTTTTCACCAATAAGGCCGATTTCAAACAGTGATGCTAATGTTAGGCCTTTAGAAAAGTTTCCTTTGCAAAATTGCATCCAATAAAATTAGATGAACAGCTTGAACACAGAGTATTTAATACCTCAAATCTCTTAAGCTACATACTTAGTAACCAGCTAAACCAGATTGCTTCTTCTGGTCTCTTCATGACACTCTGAGCTGAGGGTGCCATATGTGCAAACCTGTGGGAGGAAGGGGTCTTCTCTTGCCAATTTGAGTAGCTGAGGGAAAGCACTGGTGACATAATGAAACGTAAGAACGAGGCACCCAACAGATTTTCATCTAAAATATGAGAAGGTTGGAGTAGTTGATCTGCAATACCAACCACTTCAATCTAAATTAACTTAGTGACAACCTATGTAGCCAGGTAAGGGCTGTGAAGCATACAATGAAGGGTAAGACACACAAGGAATTTATACCTTGTTGTCTAACACACAAAAGACTAAAAAAAAAATACAAGTGGTGAGTGTTCAGGTGCAGGAAATGTTCGGCAAAGGGACAAAGCATCACGGGTTATAGAGAGTAGAAGTTTCCATGAGCAGATAGAAACGAACATGAGTCTTAAAGAACAGACAGACTTGGAAGGCAGAGGGAAGAAGGAGGATTGCAAACAGGAGAACCATACGAGCAACGGTAGAGATGAAATGATAGTTATCAGGGAATATGAACCAAAAGGAAAGAGTTAGTATAAGGGATGTTGGGAAACTAAAATAGTCAGGGTTCATCCTGGAACATGGAATTGATCATAGAATCAACAGAAGAAAACCAATTACAAAATATACGGGCATGATTAGGAGGAAAGAGTTTTATTGAATATATTTCTTATGGATTTTTTACAATAAGAATATATTCTTAAATACTTTCTGAATGATAACTTGAATAAATATAAAGCTAAAATATGTTTTGTTTTGTTTTAAATCCTCACCCGGGGATATTTCTCAATTGATTTTTAGAGAGAGTGGGAGAGAGGAAAAGAACAATTAATGCCGTAGCCAGTTTTGCTCAGTGGCTAGAGCGTCAGTCTACAGACTAAAGGGTCCCAGATTCTATTCCAGTCAAGGGCATATGCCCGGGTTGTGGGCTTGATCCCCAGTGTGTGTGTGGGGGGGCGGGGGGGCTTGGGGCGCGTGCAGGAGGCAGCCAATAAATGATTCTCTCTCATCATTGATGCATCTGTCTCTCTCTTCCTTACTCTCTGAGATCAATAAAAGTATATTTTTTTAAAAAGAACAATTAAGAAGTTGCCTCTGGGGAGTGGGACTGGGGATATAATATGTCGGGTTTTAAACAATGCTTTTCAAACTCTTCTAGACTATTTGTCTATCTCTTAAATTTTTTTTATATTTTTTTTATTGATTTTTCACAGAGAGGAAGGGAGAGGGATAGAGAGTTAGAAACATCAATGAGAGAGAAACATCGATCAGCTGCCTCCTGCACACCCCCCACTGGGGATGTGCCCGCAACCAAGGTACATGCCCTTGACCGGAATTGAACCCCGGACCCTTGAGTCTGCAGGCCGACGCTCTATCCACTGAGCCAAACCGGTTCTGGCAATCTCTTAAATTTTTAATTTTTTAAAATATTATTTCAAATGGCTACATAACAGTACATCATGTGAATATAAACTTCAATTTTAGAATAGCGAACATTTGCCTGGCCAGTATGGCTCAGTGGCTGAGCGTCAAACTATGAACCAGGAGGTTATGATTCAATTCCTGGTCAGGGCACATGCCCAGGTTCCAGGCTTAATCCCCAGTAGGGGGCATTCAGGAGGCACCTGAGCAAAGATTCTCTCTCATCGTTGATGTTTCTATCTCTCTCCCTCTCCCTTCCTCTCTGAAATCAATAAAAATATGTTTAAAATAGCTAACGTTTACTAATAAAGTACTTTGAACCATCCTAAGCATTTACATATATTAACTCTATTGATTCTCACGATGATCCTATGAGGTAGGTAGGGTTCTCGTTTTATAGATGTAAAGACTGAAGCACAGAAAGGCTAATGAATTTTCCCATGATCACTCAACTAATAAGTGACAAAGCAAGAATTTGAACTCAGGTGGTCCACCTCCAGAGCCTACAAGCTTAACCCCAAAGAGAATACCTATTGTGAGGGCAGGCACTGGGTCTACTTTATTCAGGCTCATATCCTTCAGGCACCTGGCACATAGTAAGTACTTAATAAATATTCCTGGGCTGCCTCACTGACCCCTATTTTCTTAACATAGATTTATGGAAGTGGAATTTCTGGGTCAAAAATGTGAACATTATGGGTGGGGGGAGGAGTTAGGGCTGGATGAAGGTGGAGAAAGGGGAGGAATGAAGACATATGTAATAATGTCAACAATAAAAATAAATCCAAAAATAAACAAATAAATAAATAGAAAAGAAAACGTGAATATTCAAGGCTCACAACATTACCAGATTGTTTCACTACACATTACGCTGATTTGGCCTCACACCAAAGGTGTATTTAAGGGCCAAATGCATTGAAGCTTTGACAATAGGAAACAGTATAACTGTAAAAATCTTTGCTATTTTGCTATATAAAAATGCCATTAACTGTATTATCAATACACCATTAAATAATATCATTAAAATTTTAATATTTTAAAATTAAAATGTGCTTCTCCAAAATCTAGAAGTAAATCTTCCTTTCCCCCATTTAAAAAAACATATATTCTTATTGATTTCAGAGAGGAAGGGAGAGGGAAAGATAGAAACATCAAAGATGAGAGAGAATCATTGATTGGCTGCCTCCTGCAGGCCTCACACTGGGGATCAAGCCCACGACCCGGGCATGTGCCCTTGACCAGAATTGAGCCCAGGACCCTTCAGTTCACAGTTTGATGCTCTATCCACTGAGCCAAACCTGCTAGGGCTCTTCCCCCACTTTTTTTTATTAGCTATTTGTACCTCCTCTTCTATAAACTGTTTTTATTCCTTGCCCATTTGTTAGAAATAGTTGAGAAATTTAAGTGCTTAAGAAATTTCTGTTGTCCAACTCTGAAGAATTTATAATATTCTACATTTTAAGTATAATTTTAGAGACTCGTTTTAGAGAGTTTTATGTAAGATATGGAGAGTGCTTACCTGGAAGATTTTCAGTGCTTTTATAAGCCCTCCAATTTCATTCTTTAAGGAAAAAATGAGAGTTGCTCTTCCTTTTTCTAAAGAATGGTCTTTGTTTTCCTTATTGTCTTCAATCATGATGAATTTGGTATAGTTCTCTAAAAATAAAGTATGAAAATACAGGAAAAGGTCTAAAAAAAGTGCAATGTCAACTATATTTGATAATTTTTGAAACAGTGACAATATTTGATAATGTTAACCAAGCTTTAGTTTCCTCACCTGTAAAACATGGAAATGCTTATATATTTTGTAACACTACAATGAGGCCAAAATAAGATAAAACATTGTCAGACATAATCCCTAGAATGTTATAGGTATATAATACACATTAGTGGTTTTCTCCTTCTTTCTTTCTTTCTTTCTTTCTTTTTTTTTTCTTCCCTTAACCCAATCCTTCTTTTGGGGCATGACTCAGCCCATAGGCTTCTTGCCGTCTTCCTGACTTGTAGCCTGAACTGGGAGCTCTTCCCCTATGAAAGTCTACCTCCTCTCCCCCGGCTCCAACCCCACAGTTTTAGCACTTTATTATACTGGGTCTTGTATGACTTCCCCAAATGTTTCATTCATACATGCCTTGTCTTCTAATAAGGCAGCAAGCTCCTTCAGAACAAGAGCAAGGCCTTCTTTTCTTTGTAAATTTATGCGCCTCTGAAGTTGTAGACACACGTAGACTGGAGGCCTGGTGCACAAAAATTTGTGCACTTGGGGGTGGGGGGTCCCTCAGCCCAGCCTGTGCCCTCTCGCAGTCTGGGACCCCTCGGGGGATGACCCCCTGCTGGCTTAGGCCTGCTCTCCGGGGGATTGGGCCTAAGATGGCAATCAGACATCCCTCTGGCAGCCCGGCAGCCCTCGGGGGATGTCCACTTGCCAGCGGGGAGCAGACCTAAGCTGCAGTTGGACATCCTTAGCGCTGCTGAGGAGCCAGGAGAGGCTCCCACCACCACCACTGTACTGGCAGCCGTCAGCCTGGCTGTGGCTGAGCAGAGCTCCCCCCT